GGCTTGCTGTTAGGTTTGGCGATTTGACAATGGATAGTACTAATAAGTAGTTTACTCGTAGTTAGTTGATAACATAGTGAAAATCATACATGTTTCGCTCGATAAAGATCTATTGTAGGGTTCTTTACGCAAACGATAAAATGCTTAAAATCACTGATTTTGAAAGGAATATAGTTATATGGTACCCATCTTCGAAATGGCTCTATCATGCGGATTGGATATGATATTCGTATCAGCAAGTTGTATGATCTTATTAGACCACTTCTCGGCCAAAATTGTGATTTTGACAATTGTCATTGCTATTTTTTTCCTCGAAAGTTCCACTCCAGTGATTTTTGAATTAATTGAAACCGTGCCAGTTTTCGTTATTAATAAACTATTTTATAAAGCAAGATCTACTCTATTATGTTTATGACTATCTGCCAAAACTACTGATGTTTTGGGATTTTTGGGTTAAAATGCATAAGCTTTTCCGAAATCCCAAGTTAGGCAGCAAATTTAAGACAAGAACTATGTAAATATGTAGATGTGCGCACATACTCACATAGAGGGAAACTGTACACTCTTTAGCAATTTTTTCTGGAAATGTTTTGACTTATCATCCAGGGCTCGTGAAAACGCTTATACTAACTTACCGAAGCAGAAGAAGTTGGTGAACGAGGTTACAGTGACTGACGCTCCGGCGTCAGCCATAACCAGGGCCATCCGTTGATGTAACGGGATTTTTCGATCTAGCTCTCGCCAAGCAGCTATCATTAGGAAATCATCATCAATACCTAGAATTTTTGAGTCAACTGATAATCGATTGGACATAATTACTAACTAGCTTACCGACAGCCAGCACTAAGAACGGCATAGTTGAGGTAACGGGGTTGAAGGAAACACCAAGAAAGAAGAAAATGCCAAATGTAGCGATAAGAGCAAGGATAACTGACCACACTCCAAGATACATTTCTAGCGGTTTTGACCTGAACAGAGTAAAGTAGTGACAAGACAAACTCGAATAAAGATTCAGCAGGACTTGCTTTTGCTTGTTACTGCTCCAGTTGGAAAACACCACATAAATCATAAGCATTATGGTTGCCGGAATAGCGAATGGCACGGTTGTCTCAATAATTTTCATCATCTCGTCGTCCATAGCTTTGTCACTATACGGTTTAGTATTTTCGTTCATTTCACATCCTTCGGGTCTATACTTACTTATGAGGTATAAACTCGAACTCAGTTTCTTTCATCACTTCGCGCCAGTAATCCATTAAAGTTTCACGAAATTGATAATATGCGGCATTGTTTTCCGGTGATCCCGGATATTGGATGAACCTAGACCAGTACAAATTTACTCCTCTAATTTGCGATGGAAAATTTCACAAACCAATGAAGTGTAAGCACTCTTGCCCCCTGAATTTCGTTCTTCTCTCCTTTTACATCTACACCGTAGATCACCTAAAGAATTCGCAATAGAATGCCTATACGCAATCATTGTGAACATTTCAACCCTT